TATCGTACACCCCCCCCCATCCGGAGCAGCTCGGCCAGAGAGGAACGAGAAAGGTCAGGAGGGGAAACAACACACACACAGCCACAATGAGTCGTCGGTTCCCCAGAGATTATGGGAGAATATGGGAAGTGGGGGCAGCCACAATGAGTCGTCGGTTCCCCAGAGATTATGGGAATTTTGGGAAGTGGGGGGGGGAAGACAGAAAACGAGAACATATGGGAACGTATGGTGAATCCCGTTGTTTGTGGCGAGGGCCCCCGGGGGGCGGCGGACGTCGGCCGCACGCCGCCCGCTCTCCTTGTTTTCTGGAGCGTCGGACCTCTGTCGCAAACTGGAACATATACGGTAGGTTCGTGTCTTGTCGACCGGCGGCGACCCCGCCAGCGGCGTTCAACTTTGAACGCCGCGGGCGACCCAGAATCGCTCGATGTGGAACGATTTGGACATTTCGGAAACGGCCGATCGTTCGAGATTGAACGATCCCCGCGGTGTCAGGAACCAACGCTCGGGTCGTCACGACACGAACCTACCGTACATTACCAGTGGCGGGGTGCTTTTCAATCCCGCGACTTTTTGAGGGTCAGGGACGACGTCGGGGTGGTGTGGTGTATGCTTCTCCCCCGTTCTCCAAGGGAAACGACGGAAAACGTATGCACCAGGATCCCGTATACACCAGAATCCGCGTTCCTGTGCGAATTTCAGCGCAGGGTCGGGAAAAGCGTCGGTGTATAGAGTTCGTTTCCCTACTCTGGGGCAGCACGCCGACGAGCAGTCCATCGCGTGGATGCCGCGACGGCGGCGCCAGGCCGCCGAACCGGCCGCTCTCGCGGAGCCGCCCGACCTCAGGAGGGGAAAAAACACCCAGACACAATTCATCGTCGACCCCCCAGAAAATATGGGCAAATATGGGAAGTGGAGGGGAAGACAGAAGCCCCCAAAATATGGGAAAGCATGGGGAATCCTGTTATTTGTAGGTACCTTTTCCTGCACATCCATTTCGGCACCGCCTGTTCCCCGGGCCCCGCCCGCTCCGGCCGCCTGAGGCCCCGCCTTCCTGTGCCCTCCCTCCCTGATTAAAGCTGTGCGTGGCCCGCCCAGCTTTTTTGCGGAAGAGGTTCGCTCTCGCCCCGCAGATCAAAAGGCGTGTACTTACTTTGTGTGCCCCAGGGCCCCCTCACGACCGCGCGCCCGAGCGCCCCCCCATCGTCGATTCCCCAGGAAATCTGGGAAAATATGAGACGCGGAGGGGAAGACAGAACGCCCCCCCCAAAATATGGGCAAGTGTGGGGACTCCAGCTGTTTGTGCGCGTGCACTCATTTGTGTGCCCCAGGGCCCCCCTCACCACCGCCCCCCCCGAGCGCCCCACGGGCCCGCGTGCCCGCGCAGCGCCCGCCTCCGCGCAGCGCCCGCCCGAGCGTCCGGCGCCCCCCGGCCGGGGACGGCCCGCGCGCCGCGGAGGGCGGCCCCCGGAGCGCGCCGCGGAAGTGGGAGCCGGCGCTCCAACGCAGATTGGAATAGTGAGGATGGCAGTGCGAATCTGGCGAATAGCAGCAAGAACATTCTGTTAAGAATGCTGAGAACAATGATATGATAATAACAATCATAATACCAGTAGTAGTAGTAGTAGTAGTAGTAGTAGTAGTAGTAGTAGTAGTAGTAGTAGTAGTAATAGTAGTAGTAGTAGTAGTAGTAGTAGTAGTAGTATAGCAGTAGTAGTAGTAGTAGTAGTAGTAGTAGTAGCATTCGTATTATGAATGCTAATGCTAATGGCAATATGAGAATCCTAAACATACTAATCATAAGACTAGTAGTAATAATAAACATAATGCTCATAATAGTACCAATCGTATTATACATAATGATATTATGATTAATAATAATACGACTAATACTACTACTACTAACACTAAAACGAACAATAATAATAATAATGATATTGATGATGATGGTACTAATAATACTACTAATAATAATAATGATACTAATAACAAGAATAATAATAATATTAATATTAATACTAGTAATAGTAGTAGTAGTAGTAGTAGTAGTAGTAGTAGTAGTAGTAGTAGTAATATTATTAGTAGTAGTAATAATACTACTACTACTAATAATAATGATAATAATAATAATAATAGTAGTAATAGTAATAATAGTAACTACTACTACTACTACTACTACTACTACTACTACTACTACTACTACTACTACTACTACTACTACTACTACTACTACTACTACTACTACTACTACTACTACTACTACTACTACTACTACTACTACTACTACTACTACTACTACTACTACTACTACTACTACTACTACTACTACTAATAATAATAATAATAATAATAGTAATAATAACAATCACAGTAGTATTGAGAGTAATAATGATGTTAAAACTAATCGTAACAACAGGAATCATGAGACAACTAAGCCGAATAAGAAGAAGACGCCGTGAGCCAAAAAATTGGAGTGGGCTGTTTTTGGCTGTTTTCGGCCTCTGGGGGCCCTCGCTGGGCCTCGGGAGCGTCGACGAAACGACCCAGGGCGAAAACCGGTCCCAGGGAAGTGGTCCACCAGACCTCCGGGAGCCACGCATCGAAAATTTTGGAGCAGCCGCGCGGCGCCCTCTGGGGCGGAGTTCTTCCGGGGCCTCCCTAGGTGAGCTGGGCCCCAGTTGAACTGGGCCCCAGATGAATGGTCCCCAGACGGAATGTTTCCCAGCTGAACTCGGCTCCTCGCCTGGCGCCGCAGCTGGCCTCTCCGAGGTGGAGTTCATCTGGGGCCCAGTTCGGCCCGGGCCCAGTTCAACTGGGGACCTGTTCAACCGGGCCCAGTTCAGCTGGGGGCCCAGTTTATCTGGGGACCAGTTTATCCGGGGACCAGTTGCCAAGGCCCAGTTCCCGCGCCCAGCGCCGACGCCAGACGCTCCCGTGCCCAGTTCATCCGGGGCCTATTTTTTGCGGGGTCCAGTTCAGACTGGCGGCCCCAGAGGACTACTGGCGCTCTGATTGCCCTGAGGGGGGTATTCCGCGGCTTCCGCAGCATCCGCCGTCTCCGCCGTGACATCCCACTCCTTTCCTCTGTCCTGCTGGTACAGAGGACTGATGACCACTGCCCTTCTGTCAATGCCCAGCCGGGGCCAAATTTATCGGGGCCCAGTTCAGCCGGGGCCCAGAGTTGCCAGGGCCCAGTTCAGCCTCTTCCCCTGAAGCGTTTTCGGGGCCTCCTTGGGGCCTCCTGGGGCCTCACCGGGGCCCCTGGGGCCAGAAGGTTCAGCTGTTCGGTTCGTGCTTCCCCTCTTGGGCACGTCTCGTGGCTGTCTTCGGGCCCTGTCGGGCCTTCTTGGGCGCCTTTGGGGCGGTCACGCAGCGGCGGAGCTGTTGGCGCGCGCCATCGTTGATCCGACGTCGACGCATACAATCCGGAATTCGGTTGTTGAGTGGAGCTGATTTTTTCGATGATAGATAGTACATGAAAAAACACGGGCGGTTTAATCGTACGTTGCCTCGGTCAATTAATTCTTTGACCACGAAGATGCACGGCTCAACCGTGTGTTGTTGTTTGGTGGCTACATGCTCTTGACGACACGGCAGTATTATGATTGAGAGCATTGTGGTTAGCTGGCGCACTGTATTAATTGTGTGATAAGTCAGTCTGCTTCGGCCCGCTTCGAGACATTGCCAGGAGTAGTTGCGATCCCGCCCCGTGCGCTGTATAGCTGTTCTAGGGGTTGGCGCCGTGGGGGCCAAAGTGCCTGGGGATCGCACGAAGTTTGGCAACTCCGAAGGGAGTTGTTGCTAGGCCTACGCGTCCTGCCGCGTGGGGAGTTCGTATGACTCCGTCCCTGCCGTCGCCGGCCGCCGCCTATGTCAGATGTTAGTGCTGGTCATCGCCGTGTTGACCTCGGCTGTCTGAGCTGCGAAGTGTGAAGCACGTGCCCTTCCCTCCTCTCCGGTCGGGCGCACACGTACACATATACATTTATCGTAGTTTCCGCTTAATGGATACCATTGCTGTGCCATGTCGCCCATGCACATTCCAGCCGCTGAGATAGCATATCAATGGACGATAGTGGAACCATTTAATGTATCAATCATTATGTCAGAATCTTCTGATCCTCTGGCAAATGACTGCTTCCGCCAAGCTTCATTCCCGCTTATCCCTGTCGTTGTCCTCCTCCCATCCGTCCTCATCTTCTCCTCAGCCACGCCTTCTCGTTCACTTTCGCTCTCTCTCCCTTGTGCTCCTCGTCCTCCCCCTGTTTTGAGGGATCTCCATTCGGGGGGGGTCCGGATCCATCCAGCATTTTTTCGGCGCGCCCCACTGTTATACCCCAGTTCGCCATATAGTCATGCATGCATTCTTTCGTTCATTCATTCACACATACACATGTACACATACATACACACATGCGCACATCCATACGTACATATATACATACAAACATGCTTGCAACAATGAAGAACAGGTATACGTACAAACATACACACATACATACACACATACATACATACATACATACATACAAACATACGTACATGTCCGTACACATACATGCATTCATACGTACATGCAGGCATGCGTGCGCAAACATACACGCATCCGTACATACGTTCATTAACTTGTTCGTGCGTACATATTTACAGGCATACACACATGCATACATACATACATATACACATGCATACATACATATGTGAACCACCGCCCTCTGGGATCCCACCCGGGACATCGTTCTCCCAGGCGGGGGATGTGGATGCGGTAGGTTCGTGTCGTGTCGACGCGGCTGCGACCCTAGCGCGGGCATTCAGGGTTGAACGCCGCCCGTGGCCAAGAGTCGGGCACTGGCGATCGAGACGCCGCCGATCGTTCATGGTTGGGTTGAACGATCCACGCGGTGTCAGAAACCAGTGCCGAAATCATCACGGCACGAAGCAATCGAACATCGTAGCCTTGCGGACATGGCAACACAAAAAGCGAGCGCCGCCGGCGGCAGGAACATCCAGAACAAGCCGGTGGTCAACCAGGATCGGTGGCTCAAACGTTTGTGTCCCGAGGGATGGGGCCATCAGGGCGAGGTGCGTCGAACAATGAAAGTCCGCCGTTGGATCCTTTCAGCTCCTTGGGTCCCCATCCCTCACGCCCTGCAGTCAGCGCGCCTCGTAAGGCCGCGCGCCTCCATGTCGGGTGCCCCTGTGTCCTCGCCCGTGCGGCCCGTCGTGTGCCGTGTTCATGGGCCGCCCGCCGCCCCCGAGGACCCAACTTCGGCCCCCAAAGGGCCTCGCGTCCTTACCGCCCCAAACATCCGGCGGCTCCGACCTTTGTCGATGCGTGGGCCTCGGAGGTCCGGACCACTTCCCCGGGGGCGGTTCTTCGCCGCGAGTCGTCTCTTGACGGTCCCACGGCCCGGCGAGGGCTCCCGGAGGCCGAAAGCGGCCCCAAAGCCGCCAGCTCCGAGTTTTTTTGTTGGAGCGTCGGGTCTCTGGGACCCGCCCTTGCTACACGTGCTGGCCGCATCTTCGCACCGCCGACTCCACAAGGGTTTGACGACTCTTCGCCAATCGATTTGTTGGGATCGAGCCCGACGAGTGGAGGCGAGGCAGATCCTGGGGAACCCGAGGCAACCCAACGCTCGCTCCAGGCAGATCCAGAGGCTTCCAGGGCGATTCGGAGCAGCTCGTGGCCGCTCGTCGAGCGCGAGCCGAGGGACGGCCGACGTCGTTGAGCCCCTCACGACCGACAGGACCCGCAGGCCGCCCAGCTGGCCGCCATGCAGGACGAGATTGCCGCCCTGCGGAGCGAGCTGCGGCGAGCGGGCGGGGGCGGCACGCCTGGGCCTGCACCGCCGCGCGCCGAGGGGGACGAGGCAAGGAGGAGGGGGAGGAGGGGGAGGAGGGGGAGGAGGGGGAGGAGGGGGAGGAGG